TTGTGATAAATGTTCAATAAAATTTTGAATATTAACTTTGCTATACATTCTCCTAAAGTATGTTTCTTTAGTAGAAGGTTTAATAAAATTATTAAAAACAAATTTGATATGATAGTGGTCCGATAAATCTGATTCTATAACAAATAAATTAAAATGAGAAAAATTTATATTTGTAAATAAATTATCAATTTGAGTTTTAGATCTATTTGTTACCCTTGTAGGCATACTAATAGTTGCAAATAAATTTAGGCTTTCAAGAAGGGATACAAGTTTTTTTATATTTTCACATGAACTATTTAAAAAATTAACATTAAAGTCTCCAAAAATAGCTATTGCTTCATTTTTTCAGTTATAAGGCTTAACATAACATTTTCAAAGGTTGATAAAAATTCAAGAAAACTTGAGGAAGGAGACCTATAAACACATACCACAAACAAATTATATTGAGGGCACTTAATTACACAACACTCGCATATCTTCTCTTTTGATTCCACAAGTACATTTTCTGTTATAATGTTTTCTTTTAAAAATATACAAACGCCACCGTGAATAAAAGTACTTCTACAGAACAAACTTTTTAAGATGTAGTTATTTAGTCCCTTAAAAGACAAATTTTCAGTCATCATCCACAATATCTGGATCTTCTTTTTGAAGAAAAAGTTCCATTTCACCTATTTTGTTGCTTAGACATTGTACATTTTGGTATATGATTTTTAAACCAGTTGCCTCTAAGTTATTTTTTTGGCTGAGATTGGTTTTGTTGGCAAAAAAAGTTTCGAAAATAAAAGTTTTTTATTATTAGACCTTCAGGCCAAAAGTTACCATCCTTCAATTTTTCCAAATGTCATCTATAGCATGTATGCTTGCAAAACGACGGCCCATTAAGGTTCTCTTTATTTTTGGGAATAGGAAAAAGTCAGAGGCATGTCTGGCGAATATAGAGGCTGGGGCATCATTACAGTATTGTTTTTGGCCAAAAATTGTGTTCAAAATTTAACAATTTTGGAACAAATTTTGCTGCCACGCGTTTCATACCCAAAACATTCGAAAAAATTTCATGGGATGAGCCAATCGATATCCCAACATCATCAGCGACTGCTCTGATGGTTTATAACCATTTCTTCCACTTTTTCCATGTTTTTATCGGTTGTGTAATGTATACCAACATAATAAAGAAAATTTTATGACAACCGGACCCTACGAACCCGCGAAATTTAACAATTCCCGTTATTTTCTGAACACACCTCGTATACCGCTTATTGCCTATATTTTCAAATCCTTTATTGGTGTTATTTACAATAAGTTGTATTACACAAGTCAGTCACAGGGTTGCCATTACTACTACTTAAGTAGTATTTCTACTACTTTTGTTTGTATTCTACTACCCTACTACTGATTCATTAAAATCTACTACTTTTTTATATTTTGTAAATTTTTTCGTTTTTTAATGGGAAAATCAATTCAATATTACAAGTTGGCACTTGATGCGGAAATATGGCAACATACTCAAATTTTACAGAGGCTCTGACCCAAAATGCTCTGACAGAAAATTCGTTTGGTAGAAAAGAAATCCGGCACCGTCGCAACATATAACTAAAACCGCTGTGCTGCCTATCAGGTTTTGTTCATATATCTACTAATTGGTAGCACTTTTTCTTTGGTTTTTTTCGAAGACTTGTTTTGGTTTCTCAAAAAGATGATAGACTATAGTAGAATTCGGAAGTTTGCAATTTGCATAGAGTATCTATCCAAAATTATTTAAAAAAATTTAACATTACTAGGACTGTTCCAACCGCACATGAAAACCGTACTTAAAACGATAATTTCGAGTATCACAGTTCATTGCGTTAGTTTGCAATAATGAAATGTGACGTCGTTCCATGTGCGTTGGAACAAACCTATAATTATATTTATTATTTGTTACTTAAATAAAGTTTTATTTATAATCGTTACTTTTTTATACTAAATCCAAAAATCTAACAAAACTATGGTTAAAAAAATCTACTACTATCTACTAGTTATTTTTCCATATTTTTAGTACCATTTTTAGTTCATAAGTGGGGGATTTAAAATATTTGATACCATAGACATCACAGAACATAAGATAGAGAAACTAATACCTCCACGCACAATCCACACAACAAGGTTTGTTAACGGCGGCCATTTTTGTTTTTACAATTTTTGTGCTTTGGGTTTGTGCTCTGTTTATACAGATTAATAATCCTTTTAAAGGTTGTGTTTCTCATAGTAAGCCTTAAAAGAGTCCTTAAAGTGCTAAGAACAACCATTTTACTCCTCTATTGTAAAAATAAACTTTATTCCATCAGGGCTGTCATAAATCTGTCAAATGTCAATTTTAAGGTTAAATTATAACCCAAAAATTAACCTTCAAATTGTCATTTGGCAGCCCTGATATAATAAGGTATATTTATTATAAAAGAGGAGTAAAATGGTTGTCCTTAGCACTTAAAGGCCTTATTTGAGGCTTACAAGTGCCTCTGTAAGAAACACAACGTTTAAAACAATTATTAAACATCACAAACCCAAAGCTCAAGAATTGTAAACAACAAAAATGGCCGCCGTTAAACTCTGTGCAGTGTTGCAGGGATTTTTAGTATTTTTAGCATGAGATAAAACATACCTTGTTGTGTAGATTGTGCCTCCACGTATGATACGAATTGTCAACTACATAAAATTTGGGTTATATCAAATTTTTCTATATCATTGGCTTACATAGTCTGGGTTAAGCTTACAAAAATTATTTTGATTTGGCTTTATAAAAAGCAAAAAGTGGCATAACATGCATATTATGTAAAATCCACTAAAAATCTCGTAAAAACAATGGAAAAAAATGCCAAAATAATTGGTATACAACAGAATACAAACAAAATGGATAATTATAAAAAACCATCTACATATTTATATGTCTATAATAAAAACCCTTTGGCTATGATACGATAATCGTAATCAAAATGCGACAAAAATATGTTATTTTTTTTTTAAACCGTCAATGCAGCTGACGCATGCCCCTCAATGCCCGCTACCGTGTGAGAACATTTCCCCTACTTTAAACCCACGAAATGGAAACTTAGAAATGATTTGTATGTGTGGAAGTATGTGCCATTCTTAAACAAGAGTGGGAATATTCTCGCACAGTATTGCAGAAAAACATCCTTTCTATGATCAAAAATTACACTAGAACGTTACTATTCTTAAGTAGTCATAGAGAAAAACTTTTTTCTACTCATATTATGGAATATGACCATTCTAATATCACTTTTATCTATGGAATGACATATATTCCGTAAAGTGTTACAGAATGAAATATTCTATCTGATGACAGAATAAACACTCGTGGCGACATCTCTGTTTTTAATATCTAACAAATTTTAGACCAATCCAACCTCACTTTCTTCCAATTAAATTATTTGTCTATGGTATTTTTTGGAAACGTAGAAAAAGTATAGTCTGAAACACGTTTGGAATTGCATATTCCCCTCTCATGAAACCGTCAAACTCGCCTTCGGCTCGTGTTACAAACTTTTCACTCGAGCGGAATAAGCCGTGTTCCAAACTTGTTACAGAATATACTATAATTTACCTATAGGTACATAAAAGTTTTTCTGAGTAGGTATATAAAAGTTTTCTTCATTACACGAGAAACATTAATAGTTTAGTTTCTGTACCAAGAGGCTTTGTTACGATTTCGTTACTCAGGTGGCGTTGCTGGTTTCGTTTCTATACCCGGTGTTTAGGTTTCACAGGGTTCCCAGCATTGTTTGCTACTTTTTTTAATGATTTTATGATACATTTTTCAAATTTTATGACACTTTTTATGACAAGAATTTATTATTTCTTAAGTTATTTTAATAAAAAATATGTAATTTTTTAACGGTTTATTATATAAAAATATTTACTCGCATCAAAATAAAAATTTCTTCTATTATATTTTTAATGTATGTTACTTTAGTAGGTATCTTACTATAATATGTATTATAATCTCAAAATAAATAAAACCGCATACTATTTTTTTTTGCTTTTTTGAGACCCATGTTAATCATTGTTTGAGCCTCCAATATTTTAGATTTTTTAAGAGTAATCTTATTGTTAAGGTACTTTGATAATTTCTTATTTCCTTCAGAAATTTCTTGCTATTTTTAACTCTGCTTCCTAACTTGCCAAACTACTATCAATTTCTTCAAGTCCTTCTTTGCGTTTGCGCTTTCTGCCTTCCTTTTATAAAGTAATATAGTAAATAACTTTACCATTCTCATTATTTATTTCAAATTTTGAAATTCCCATAGATTAAACAAAGTTTTCCTTCAGAGTATGAAGTTTATACGTCAACAGCCAAGGCCGTTTTTGAAACATTTGCGGCTTTAAAGTTTATTTAACAAAATTTCCATTCTATAAAAAAGATCAAAGGTGAGAAAATTGTTCAAAAATATTGAAATTTTATGATTTCTATGACAAAATGTAGTTTTTATGACATTTAACCTTTAACAATTTAACCTTTTTTATGATATTTAAAAATTTTATGACAAACGGGAACCCTGGTTTGGCTTAGAATTTTGCTATAACGCCAAAAACGGACTTTCATTTTTATATGAGTCCCTGCTAATAACAGCTAACTTAAATTTATCCCGCGTCGGGGTCGTGGGGCAACTTATGACGGCCCACCGGGAAACTCCCGATCGCCCGGTGGGCCAGCACGAGCCTGATTGTCAGCTAAAATGTGTGTACGACAAAAGCACGCTACCTCCTTAAAACCTATTGCACTTAGCAGGTTTTATGGCTGCTGTAAGGTGTGCCTTAGGAGTAATACAATAAAGCAAAGTTGCTTTGTGGCTGATTCTCCTTTTTAGCCCTATGATGGTTTTATCAAAGCTGTATAGCTGCTGTTAAAGCTAATAGGTTTTAAAACCTATTTTGCTACTTGGGTATAGTTTATACTTTCATAAAAAACATTCTAAAAAGGGTTTAAGAATTTTTAGACTTACTGGACTTCGACTAGGTTTTCTGGGAGGTATATCTCTTGAAGAACGTATTGGCGACTTTCTGTGTAGACTGCTACGATGCCTAGACCTGGAACGCCTATCCCTTGATCTGGATCGACGTCTTATAGGAGGCGATCTCCTGTAATTCCTGCTTCGACTTCTTCTAGCAAAACGCCTGAAAACCAAAAACAAACGTTCATTTAAATATCAAATAAAACGAAAATCATCATTTAAGATCACCACTGTATAACCCAAGGCGCTGATCCACCAAAAAATTTCTTCACCGCATATGTTTCCGCACAATAAAAGTTTTCACCCAAAAAATTCGAAAATGTTTTCCGATCTCCTATTTTAATATATTTATTTAAAAAAAACTACCTTATCAATCAAGCATTTTGGTAGTAAAACATTGAACAAACCCAGCATTTTTAATTGTATTAGCTGAAAATAAAACACTAAACTTGGTCATCTCTTAAATTTACTCTTTTGGTTCCAAATGTTTTTTCTTGTTAGAGCACTTATTTGTTCTTAACTTTTTTACACTGTGGATCAGCACCTTTCAAATAACACTGCACTTTTCACTGGCAATCACTAACCTATCCAACCGATCTCTGCTGTTGTTTCTCCTGCCGCCTCTGCTGATGCTGCGACGTCTCCTGCTCGGGCTTCTTCGGCTCCTGCTGCGCCTACCGCGTGCTCCTGCTCCGACTCCTCGGTTCCTGCTCGGGCTCCTGCGACGGCTAAAACTGCGTCTTCGCCTCGGGCTCGGTCTGCTACGTGACGGGCTGCGGCGGTTTCTCGAAGGGCTGCGCCTTCTTCGACTTAAGCTCCTCTTGCTCCTCGATAGACTACGTCTGGAAGCAAAATATCTATCTGTAATTTGAAGTAAAAATTAACACACATACATTAATAAATCGATACAGTTATAAAATGTACACTGGTTTGCAAAAAAAGACGGTAGGGAAATTAATAATAAAGTTCATTAAAAACATAATTTGATCAATTTTTATCAATTAAATAAGATTTAAGAAATGCCGATTTCGTCGCACCGAGATCATTTTTTTTTAAATCGTAGAATATTAAGAGGGGTACAAAACCTTTACTGTAAAAATGTACCGTAAAATGCACCGTTTGCGAAATATGTGAAAAAAGTAAAAAAAACTACAAAAGACAATAACAATTTTTTCACTTTTTAATTTTACGAATAATTATTTCCTTTTTTACTTTTTATGGTATGGGTATCTTAAAACAATTATTAGGTGGTGCAAATTTGGAGCTTTTTAGATAAGCATTATTGATTCATAAAAAATACCACAGTGCATCAGAGCACGCAAGTTCAAACGACGATTTGGCTGAATTTTAAGGGGTGGTAGGCCATGCTGGGCAATGATGCCAACTCTACCAACTTTTCCGTAGATCTACCCACTTTTAGTGTCTTGCTCAAATCTACTACTTTGCAAGAATAATCTACCAACTTTTTTAGTTTTTAAATTTTTTAAATTAAATTTCCGTGAAAGTTTTAATAATGTGTTGTTTTTTTATACTTTTCCAATATTTACCGAATTTCATAGAGTATATAGCGCGCGCACATACTTCCTTGGAAGTATGTGAGCACGCGTTCCTGTAACGCCCTCTATTATCTATTACATTTATCAACAAAAGTGCCAAGTGCTTAAAGAATAGAATAATAAAAAAGCTATACTGCTATGCACATGTACCCTTTTGCTTCTAATCCCTTTAATTATAAATAGGCACTTGGTTTGTATACTATTAAATATTCAATTAATTAATTTGAGTATACAACCCAAGTGCGAATTTATAATTTAATAATTATAATTAGGTATAATTCTTCAATTTTTGACTTTTTTCTATTCTTATTTTGGATATTGGCAATCTGTAATTCTGCTTTATCATTGTTTTTTTTTTATGAAAATACTTTAAATATATTTTATCCATCAAAAAATTAATTCAGAGTGCCAGATTTCTTACTTTAGAGTCTCTAAAATGCTCGAAAAATATAGTTGGTAGATCTACTAACTTTTAAAAGTAAGATTTGTAGGAAACTACCAACTTTTAAAATCATATCTACCTCCTAGACAAATTTTGGGTTGGCCACACTGATGCTGGGACAAACATTTTGATATAGAAACATGTGTCCGAAAACCGAGCTACAGGCGTGAAAAGTTGCATGCTCCGTTTAAATTTGGCGAATGTAACCTTGTTTGTAACCATGGGGACATTTCATGTGAACGGACAACGAAAAAAAATTTTAGGGTCTGAAATTCGTTCACATTTTGCCTAATTGTACTACTAAAAGGTTTGAATGTAAACCCAGATTTCTTTTTTTGGATGAGATATGGTTGTCAAGTTATGGCCTAAAGATTGACGTAATATAAATTACAGAATTTTCGGAAGAAGTTTTTTAAATTAAACAAATTTACATTAAAATATGAAACATGTTGGTCGTTTTCGAACATTTTATTGTTTTTTTTTTTAATTATGAAAGCAGATTCGAAATTTAATTTTTCTTTTGTATAAAACCGAAAGTAAACATTTTAAATCAAAATTTTAATAACTTTTACCATTTGTTTATAGTCATTTTAATTTTAAAATATACCTTTATAGTATACAGATAATGCACTAAAAGTTTTAAAATGGGATCTACATTAGTTCAGGTGATATATGAATAATATTCATTGAATATGTACTTCATATATCTTGAAAACTAATGTAGTTCCCATTTTAAAACTTGTAGTGCATTATCAATATACTTTAAACTATATTTTGATTAATTATAATTTGAAATGCTTACGGTTTTCTTCAAGAAAAAAAAATCAAATTTCGAATCTGATTTCGTAATTAAAAAAAAGACAATTTTCGATAAAAAACACTGTTTTATATTTGTTTCATTTTAAAAACTGCTTTCGAAAATTCCGTACATTAGGTATATATTATATATATTACGTAAATCTTTAGAAAGCCATAACTTGACAAATACAAAAAATAATTGTGGGTTTACATTCAGACCTTCTAGAAGTACAATTAGGCCAAACGTGAACGAATTTCAGAATCTGATTTTTTTTCGTTGTCCGCTTCACATGAAATGCCCTATGGTAAATTTAAAAGGTTACTTAACCCCAATTTTACTGTCGTGACAGATACCTAACCTTAATTATACTGAAATCTACGTCAGTCATCATTACCATAGGTACAACCAAGGTTACATCCGCGTAGTTTTAGACGCATATAACTCGGTATGGGGGAGTTTCTGGACAAGATTCTTATATTAAAATGTTTGTCAGCATGGCCTACCATCCCATAAAATTTAGCCCAACCGTTTCCGAAACAGTGTATATTAGAAACAACATAATTTAACTTTTTCTTATATTTGCAGACCAGTGTAATTAGTTTAACAATTGTTAAAACAAACTTTAATGCAAATGATAATTTTTTGCTATTTGCAATAAATTTAATTTAAACTTTAAAACATTCATATTTAGTTTGGTTTTTGTTAAATTGTGTATTTTAAAATGAGGTTAAATCATGAACTTATATACATAATGTAACAAAATATTTTATTAATTGTTATGCATTAAAAACTACATTTTTTACCCCTTTTTAAAATAAATACAATGTATGTATTATATTTATTCGTATTAGTATTAAAACAATAAATTTTATAAGGTTTTCTAAATATGCTTCAATAATAATATAAAATTCTTACCACTTTATCTAAAATAAAATTGAATACCTTAAAGCGTTTTTATTAACAAAACAAACACTTAAGTTTGTGTAATTGTTATTTTAAATTGCTCAAAACTAAACTAAACTAAAAATCCAAATTAGGTTGAAATAAACTAAATTAAAATTTAAAATAACGATTGAAACGTCTGGAATAAGTCCTAAACATAGATAAAAATGTGAAGGTATGTTTAGAAGATAACATTCAGGAGCTCCAATATATAAATTCGAAGAGTGGGGGTTCATAAGAACAAAGTCAAAAATAAAATTATAATATAATTATATTATAATATTTTATATTATAATACAATCTTTTTAGTAGTAAACAAAACAGTGAGTACATTTATTAAACTATCAGTATTACTGTCATTGGTGCAGAAAACGTAAGTTATTTCGTGTAATCATTACACTGTAATGTTTCATTATAAACTTACTGATAGTATTTCAAATAACTGATGTGCAGGTTGACAAATTAAAACAATTTTCAACACAGCACAAATTTTCTCAAATAATAATTTTGAAATAATCAACCTTCTTTATCTCTGTTCTCAATCTTCCAACCAATGCGTGCACGTGAAGTCAGTCACGTGAGGCGACGGTTGATTAATAATCATTTGTGCGCATTGTACACTTCCCCTCCTTTATCCCGCTGCCAAGCGACTCGTTTCAGGAGTTGAGGCTCCTGAATATAATCTTTTTAGTTCATATTAACAGGGCGGCTATACTTATACCCCTTTTATTCTCAATTATATTTGTAATATTTTGTATAAATTCTTACATTGTTTTTAAAGGTTGGGTAAAAACCAGGGTTGACATGAATTAATGATTTAATTCGTCGTGATTTTAATCAAATTACTTTTTTCAAAATTAATTAATTAATCATTAATTAAATAATTAAATTGAATTTTACTAATTTTATTCAATAAGAAAACTGGCTCCTTTAATTTATGAATAATAATTATCATTCACTCTAAAGGCTTTTATTACAATTTAATATTTTCGGAAAATTTCAGTAAAATAAACTCAACAAGAACAATGAAAATGGCGCGATCTGATTGCCTTTACAAAAAGTGGTATATGTCGCTTAGTTTTATGAATTTAAAAAATTGTTTAAGAGGAATTCGTAGTTAAAATATTTTCCAGTGAAGGGTGTTAAAAAATAGAATTTCAATTTTGCAGTTAAAAAGTAGAATAATTATGACAAAATTATTACAAAAAAATGACAATTGTTGAAAATTAGTATATTGTAGACCTAGGCGGTAAAGTAAAATTTTTCCGGAGTGAAATAAGAAATGTACAGCAAGCTTTATTGAACCTGGACACTTCTTGAAGCCTGGAAAAATCACTTTACCGCTGTGGTTAACAAGTTATTTTTCTTCCTACACAACATGACTGCAATTTAAAATTTGCTGTATTTGGCGAGTCATTAACGATAGCAACGGATGTAAAAGTCCTATGGATGTAATAGAATATCTTTCCTTTCTAGCTTCTAGGCTAGCCATAGAAACATCTATAGGTATACTTTCTTGTCCCTATGGAGACGGTAAAGTTCAACTTTTTCATAGTGTAGGAAGAAAAATGTTTTTTCCTACTCACGTGAGCAAAGTTGTACTTTTCCGAACGCTTACTTTGCGCACGCAAATGCGTTAATAAAAGAATAAGATTGTTAAATCATATTAGTTTTAATTAAAAACAAAAAATATTGCTAGAATAATTCAATATAAAAATATAAGTGGCAATTTTCTGCACGCTTATAGAAAAATGGAAGCTGATATTGAAAATTGCGAGATTCTCTTGCTTGCAGAAAAAATACATGCGCAAAGTAATTTTTTCGCACTTACTGCAATTGCGAGCAGAAAAATATAACTTTTAACCAAAATATTTATTTTTATCATACACAAGTTTTCTATATAGAGTCGTTTTCAATTTTAAATATATTCATATTTCGCACCATCCTACTGAATATATTAATTAAATTTAAAAAAAATAGTTTGAGTTTGCATTTCGTAAATTATAATAAATTGGATAAATTAAATAATTAAAAAAAGTCGGAATTAATTCAAAAAGTATTACTTTTATTTATAAAATCATGACGTTCTTCAACCCTGGTAAGAGCAATGATACTAATCGATATTAAATAAAAACCAAAACATGTGCGCTTGAAATACCAAAACCGACAGTTCAATAAGAAAATATCAAATAAATAGTCCCACCTTCTGGAGAGACTCCTCTTTCTACTAGTCGACCGTTTGCGTGACAGGCTGCGTTTCTTCGACAGGCTCCGCTTTCTCCTCGGGCTGCTGCGATCCTTGGTGTTGCGCCTGCCGCCACCGCGCCGATTCGACCTCGACCTCGACCGCTTCCGCCTACCTTCGGCCTCGCTGTCCGAGCTCTCCTTGTTAGAACGATAGTGGCGCTTCTTTTGCACGCTGTCCTCCTTTTTCCTGATCTCGAATCCACGTTTCGAACCTCCTGTCGAGCTGCTCCTGCTTCTCCTGCTCTTGCCGTCCTTGGCGCCTTCGTCCTTCGACCTAGACCGCGATCGCTTCCCCTTTGACGAAGATCTGCTAGACGAACGCGACCTCCTCGACCTGCTACGCGACCTGCTGCGTGATCTGGAGGTCCCCTTGGAGTTTTCCGCCATCGACATCAGCTTCACCTGCAGCTTAGAGACTGGCACCGCCGTACTATAACATACACAAGGCGGTTGCGAGCAATAGATGACTTTTACCATTACCATTTGTCAGGAATGTTAATTTTACCTGATTACTTACCAATTTTTAGGAAAAAATATTAATAACAACTTGTTATAAGTAAAGATGTTATAACAATAGAAAGCAGCGATTCTCAAAGCCAGTAGGGTTCCGAAAATATATTCGCGGAACCCTGCTGACTTATAAGTCACATTAATTAATAGGTGCCATCAAATGAACCGCGTGAGCATGTGTTTTAATCCTAATTTAAATTACATTATCTTTTATTTATTATTATTTGGTGTGGGGTTCCATAAAATAAAAGTTATTTGTTTAGTGTTCTGTAACCTTAAAAGTTTAAGAAACGCTTATTTTAACCATGTTTTAAGTTTCTAAGTGGCGAAGAATAAAATTAATAGTTCTAGTAGTTTTTTTATACAACTTCTATTGTTTTGCTTTTTTTATAACATGATTTTGACAAAAGGTAATTTATAACCATTGTTAAGCCCGATTTGAATATGTAGATGGCAATTGCGGGGTTGCCAAATTTTAAAATTAAAAATAGAGCACATAAGGTAATAATTTAGAAAGATTGGGGTTTTGTCTTATAGAGTAAGATCCCAGAGCTGCCAGACCTACGTCATTTTAATACTGCTGAGATTTTTTTAATAAATGTCTTAATATGTAGTTAAAAACGTATGGGTACTTGCTAGCTTGAAAGCGGGGCCCTTTTACAGATAACGGGCACTAAAGGTACATAAAAAAGGTACCTTTCTACGTTAAAGTAATACCGCTGGTTTTCATATATGTTATACACATTGTTATTAAAAACCAACATTCATTATTGCCAGACGCATTCCAGGGGACCTAACTTCCGCCAGACTCTTTAAAGCTCAAGAAAAAAGGGCTGAACCTACGTTATAGTAGTACTCCTGAATTTTACATATATTTTTTGAGTGATTATTTTAAGACCTTTTGTAAGCAGCCAGACCAATCCGAGGGGCCCAAGCCCCCCCCCCAGACGCATTAAAGGTCAAGAAAAAAGGGGGGAACCTACGTTATAGTAGTACTCCTGAATTTTTTCATATTTTATTTGGTTGACTATTTTAAGACCTTTTATAAGCAGCCAGACCAATCCGAGGGGCCCAAGCCCCCCCAGACGCTTTAAAGGTCAAGGAAAAAAGGGGGGAACCTACGTTATAGTAGTACTCCTGAATTTTACATATTTTATTTGGTTGGCTATTTTATAGTAGTACTCCTGAATTTTACATATTTTATTTGGTTGGCTATTTTAAGACCTTTTATAAGCAGCCAGACCAATCCGAGGGGCCCAAGCCCCCCCAGACGCTTTAAAGGTCCAGGAAAAATAGGGAAACCTACGTTATAGTAGTACTCCTGCATTTTACATATTTTATTTGGGTGACTATTTTAAGACCTTTTATAAGCAGCCAGACCAATCCGAGGGGCCCAAGCCCCCCCCCAGACGCTTTAAAGGTCAAGAAAAAATGGGGGAACCTTTGTTATAGCAGTACTCCTAAATTTTATATATACTATTTAATTGGCTATTTTAAGATCTTTTGTAATCAGCCAGACCTATCCAAGGGCCTAAGCCCCCCCAGACGCTTTAAAGATCGAGAAAAAACAAAGGAACCTACGTTATAGTACTAATCCTGAATTTAACTTTTTTTTATTTGGGTGACTATTTTAAGACTTTTTATAAGCAACCAGACCAATCCGACTATAAGCAACCAGACCAATCCGACGGGCCCAAGCCCCCCCAGACCTTTTAAAGGTCAAGAAAAAATGGGGGAACCTACGTTTTTGTAGTACTCCTGAATTTTACATAGTTTATTTTGTTGACTATTTTAAGACCTTTTATAAGCAGCCAGACTCATCCAAGGGGCCCAAGCCCCCCCAGACGCTTTAAAGGTCAAGGAAAAAGGGGGAACCTACGTTATAGTAGTACTCCTGAATTTTATAATTTTATATAAATTATTTGGGTGACTATTTTAGGACTTTTTATAAGCAGCCAGATTAATACGAAGGGCTTAACCCCCCTCAGACACGATAAAAAGTATACATTATAATATCATAGGCTGTAATATTGTATTATGTATATATATTATTTGGGTGGCTATTTTAACACCGTTAAGTGCCATTGTTTATCCTGGTTGGTACAAGTTTAGTGTGGGAATTATGAAAATTTTGGAAAATATTTAAAAAAATTGAAATTTTCAAAATTTTGGATATCCTGAAAATTTTAAAAATCTTTGAAATTTTGAAATTTTTTAAAATTTTGAATAATTTAATTAAAACTAATTTTATAACAAGAATTTAAATATTATTAAGTCATTATTAAAAAATTCCATAAAGACAAATACACAACTTAAATTGCACTCGCATGCATGCCTTGCTCTCGTACTCACAGCGTACCTTTTATCGTGTCTGGGCGTGGTTAGGCCCTTTGGAATGGTCTGGGTAGTTACAAAAAGTCTTAAAATATATAATAATAAATATATAATAATAATATATAAAATATTCAGGGGGCTTAGGCCCTTCGGATTGGTCTGGCTGCTTACAAAAGATCATAAAATAGTCCCTCAAATAATATATGTAAAATTTAGAAGTTTTACTATAACGTAGGTTCTCCCATTTTTTCTTGGCCTTTAAACCGCCAGGGGGGGCTTGGGACCTTCGGATTGGTCTGGCTACTTATAAAAGGTGTTAATATAATCACCCAAATAAAATATGTAAAACTCAAAAGTACTACTATAACGTAGATTTTTCCATTTTTTATTGAGCTTTAAAGCGTCTGGGGGGGGCTTAGGCCCTTCGGATTGATCTGGCTGCTTACAAAAGATCAGAAAATAGTCACTCAAATAATATATATAAAATTCAGGAGTACTACTATAACGTAGGTTCCCCCCTTTTTTCTTGACCTTTAAAGCGTCTGGGGGGGCTTGGGCCCCTCGGATTGGTCTGGCTGCTTATAAAAGGTCTTAAAATAGTCAACCAAATAAATTATGTAAAATTCAGGAGTACTACTATAACGTAGGTTCCCCCCTTTTTTCTTGACCTTTAAAGCGTCTGGGGTTGGCTTGGGCCCCTCGGATTGGTCTGGCTGCTTACAAAAGGTCCTAAAATAATCACTCAAAAAATATATGTAAAATTCAGGAGTACTACTATAACGTAGGTTCAGCCCTTTTTTCTTGAGCGTCTGGCGGAAGTTAGGTCCCCTGGAAAGCGTCTGGCAATAATGAATGTTGGTTTTTAATAACAATGTGTAAAACATATATGAAAACCAGCGGTATTACTTTAACGTAGACAGGTACCTTTTTTATGTACCTTTAGTGCCCGTTATCTGTAAAAGGGCCCCGCTTTCAAGCTAGCAAGTACCCATACGTTTTTAACTACATATTAGGGCATTTATTAAAAAAATCTCAGCAGTATTAAAATGACGTAGGTCTGGCGGCCCTGGGATCTTGGACTATTATGTGGTGTGCGCATTGCTTTATGAAATAGTGTACATATATGTCACTTTTCGATCCAGGGCAGAAACTATTAGATCTCCGGTATAGAATCCATGTATTTTTTGATAATGTCCTTTTATAAAGGAATAGAGGAATTTATATAAAAGAGATTGAGTTCAATTTGAAGTATATGTGGCGACTGAAAGGTTAAAGAAGAAGAAAATAATGTAATTTTTGAGGAAGAGTGAGAAAACATAGGCATGGAACCTCCCAGACCTGCTATTGCAGAGCCTATGTTTTGAAGAAGAATTAGTTGGAATATGAAACGTTGAGGGTGCCGGTGCCGACAGTATTATAAAAAAAGAACTGTCCTTAGGAATAGAGGATGGCTGGCAACCCTAGCGAATTGCGTATTGCGAATAATGTTCTTATTCAGGGCTGGATGCTCCCGTTTACGAGTTTTGGTTCGTCCCGCGCATGACGTCACTTGATGAGTAGTTGCCGTGCGAATACACGAATAATAGTAATATTATCAAAGAAAATAGAGAAATTTCTGGACATAGTGCGTTTTTATTAAACTTAATATTGAAGAAAGTGTTATAATATGGATAATAAATGCTTTGAGTCCTTGATAACATTTAGGGCTGTAGTTTAAGCGTTGGTGTTTTAAATTAAACTTGATGAGTGTTTTTAAATCTTTAACGTGCTTTTTAATTATCTACTGCTAAAATTCTTGTTTTTGCGATGCTTTTGGATGTTAACTTGCTCTACTTTTTGTTTAACTTGTCGTTTTTGTGTTCGGTAAGGTTCGAATTACTTTTCAGCGTTCAAATTATTGTTATTGCGTTAGGTTAACCTGTTAGGTTTGTTTATTATTGTTTTTGTGTTGCGTTAACTTGTTTTGTTTGTGTTTTAGATTGTTTAGTGCCATTTGCATTTATTAAAATGCGGTGTGGCATATTTGGATGCAATTTGGACAACCAGTCCAAGAAAAACCCTTTAAATAAAAACATTAAATTTAATCGATTCCCGAAAAAGTTTGATTTGTGGAAACAGTGTTTAAATGCCACAAAAATAATAGACAATAATTACGTTAAGACCGCTTCTGTTTCCTATAAACATTTTCTGGACAGTGACTATAAGTTTAATTTAAAACACCAACGCTTAAACTACAGCCCTAAATGTTATCAAGGACTGAAAGCATTTATTATCCATATTATAACACTTTCTTCAATATTAAGTTTAATAAAAACGCACTATGTCCAGAAATTTCTCTATTTTCTTTGATAATATTACTATTATTCGTGTATTCGCACGGCAACTACTCATCAAGTGACGTCATGCGCGGGACGAACCAAAACTCGTACACGGGAGCATCCAGCCCTGAGGTGTATGTATCTTGGTTCTTATTGGTCCATTTGATTTAAAACTGATGGCGTGAAAAGCTTTCCTGCGACCTGCAAACTCGCAAGATTTGAAATCTGGGCGGCGGAAATCTAGAGAATGATTTAATATTTTGCAAATATCGCACGAATCGTCGGCCATTTTACTTGATTACGCAATTTTCATCAAAAATACAAAATTAACACAACTTCACATATAAAAACAAATAGAAAATGTTAGGTTATTCACGTCATAACTTATGACTCATAAACATGGCAAACTTCGCCTAGTGAAAAAATAATATTGATCCCTAAAATATAAAACAGCCTCATTCAGAACCTCGTAATTAGTGGAATAAATTAGTGGTTTCAAATAACGTAAAAGTTTGTCTTATGAATGTACACAGTGTTGTTCACAACCAAAAATTAGTGGTAGTACTTTTCAATTAGTAGAAAAAGTTTGCAAACTTTTACCTTTTTCCACTAATTACAATTGGAAAGCGGCTTTGCGCATGTGCGCGGATATTTTATGTCAAAAGCAAAAAGTTTGAAGATTTGCCAGTGAAGGTAAAGTTATATAAATAATATTGTAAAGGTTGTAAAAAATATTATTTCAATATAATTATTATTGTTTATGTCAGGTTAAGAAGAATTGACAATCTTTTAGCAAATTCCCTTAATTTTAGATGTTAATTTTGCGGGTTGTGAATGATCGTTTTGTGTTAATTATAAGTATAATTGAAACCACTAATTTTTTCCACTAATTACAAGGTTCTGAATGAGGCTTTAAGCTTCACTCAGAACCTTTCATATTATATTAAAAAAATACGACTTTATTAATATTTTAATGAGGAATACCGCAACGTAATAGTATTTGGTTGGTTTTAAATATAATATATATTTTTTGATTTGGTGTGAAGAGAATATAAATTCAACATATTAATTAGAAATAACTAGACATGACAGATAATCAAGCACTTTTTAAAATCGCTCGTGTGCTTTTAAGCACTCTTCTAGCATTTATGAGCATTTTTAAAATAACCAGGTTATGTTATAATCCCGCTTTTTAGTTTTGGCGGAAAATTTAAATATCGAGCTCTTTTTAATAGCCCTCGAGCGCATTTTGAGCATTTATAGCATCATACTTATTTAGTTATAAAATAGCTGGAAAATTAAATTTAAATACAATAATCCACAAAAATTATGATGTAGCTTGGTCAATTCATTTAAACACAATCACAAATCCTTTATTTATTTTTTATTAACTTACTCGTGCTTAACGGCGCCTTTTTCCAGCTCGGGCATATCCGAAGCGTCCCGGCCGTTGTTAGCGCGCTCGTTAGGACTCGCGTTTCCGTTGTTTTTCGCTTCCGGAATTTTATCAATTGATCGTGATCGGCTCCTCGAACGACTCGTTCTGTCTCGGCTGGTCGACTTCCGATCGTTGCTCTCGCCCCTCCTCTCGCGGCTCCTCGACTTCCGGTCCACACTGTTTCTGTCGCTATAAAAGATATTTGTTAAGAAGTTGTATGCTAGTTAGTAAAAATATGTTCAATAACATATCGAGAGCATCAAAGCAGAAGGGTGTATGCTCCAAAATTAAACATTTTACAGGAGAAGATACACGTTACTTAAATAGGCCTATCTAAGTAACGTGGGTCTGAAAATACAAAAATAATATTTACAAAAACAAGTTTTTTATTTTTCGGGAATTTTTAATAAATCTTTAAAAAAATTTGAATACAAAATTATTTTTCCTTATTTGTAATGTTTCATAATTCAGAGTAAATTATTAATATGATTTTCTAAAAATCCTGGACTAATCTAAGGAATATTCTCTTACTTTTTGACATTTGCGACACGGTCTCTGCTTCTGGATTTTCTATCTCTGCTCTTAGACTTCCTGTCTCTACTCCTGGACTTCCTGTCCCGGCTCCTGGACTTCCTGTCCCGGCTCCTGGATTTCCTGTCTCTGCTCCTTGACTTCCTGTCGCGGCTCTCCTTGCTCTTGTCGTTGTGTCGTCCGGAAGATCGTCTCCGTTGCCGAGATCGCGAACGAGAACGTCGCGATCTTGATCGGTCCCTATCGCGGTATTTTCGCTCCTTGTCTGACTTGTCGCGATCACGATCTCGCTCCTTGTCACGGTCGCGGTCCTTTTCCCTTTCTTTCTCCTCTTTTTCCTGCAAAAATAATTTTTAAATATTAGTCCAGAAATTTTTTAAGCATTATTTTGTACACGGGGAAGAATAATATTTTTTGTCTTTTTTAAGAACCGTTTATTGTACAAAAAACAGCTTTTGTAAGCATTTTCTACTCATAATAAGCTATGTTTTGTGCCAGAAAAAATTTTTTTTTACTCATAATTGGTGGAGATTTTGAAGGGGTAGCGGGTGTTTTTCTCCTCAACTTCAACGCCCCTGAAAAAAGTACGGTTTTGAGAAGCCCATTTGAACCGCCAATGTTTTCTACACAAAAAAGGTACTCTTGGTCATAAGCAATAAAGTTGACCGTTTTCGAGAAAAATCAACTTTTATGTTTAAAAACATGGTCAATTTGTTGAAAAATTTTGTTCATAACTAATTAAATAAAATTTATTTTAACGTTAGAAAAAGTATCAAAACCAAACGATAATTACAAAATTAAAAAAAAAATAAAAAATGATTTTTTACACAAATGCTGAAATGTGCAAAATGCGTTACCTTTACGGTTTGGAGAATTTAGCAAAGACAACTTTTGAATTATTTTTTATTTTGCAATTATGGTTTGGTTTTGTTACTTCTTCTAACGTTAAAATAAATTTTGTTTAATTAGTAAAAAAAAATTTTTTTTTTTTAAATTGACCTAGTTTTTAAACATAAAAGTTGATTTTTCTCGAAAACGGTCAACTTTAGAGCTTATGGCCAAGAGTACCTTTTTTGTGTAGAAAACATTGGCGGTTCGAATGGGCCTCTCAAAACCGTACTTTTTTCAGGGGCGTAGAAGTTGAGGAGAAAAACACCCGCTATCCCTTCAAAATCTCCACCAATTATGAGAAAAAAAAAATTTTTCTGGCACAAAACATAGCTTATTTTGAGTAGAAAATGCTTACAAAAGCTGTTTTTTGTACGATAAACGGTTCCTGAGATATTCGAAATTGTGCATTTTAGAGCGTAAGTTAATAGCGACTTTTTTCATCTTTTTGGATGAGCTATCACATCCTGAAGTCCTGCGCATATATTATGAAACACCCTGTATATATAGGTAGAGATGTACTGAAGATAGAACAAAATACTAGAAAATAGGAAAAAAGAAGGTAAAATGGATTCATTAAAGTGCAATATTGAAGGAGAAAACACTAAAATCTACATAAATGAGGACATACCATATGAATCCAGAGTTTTATTTAATAAAGCTAGATCACTAAGACAACACGACTACAAATATATCTGGCAAAAGGACGGAAATGTTTTTGCAGAAAAATGGATGATTCATAAATCATAAAATTAAAAAGCCTAAAAAAATAGAGAGTATCACTGCAGTAGCAGTCTAAACATGTGATAAATAGATACTTAGTATGTGATATAATGTTTTTGTATTTGTTTTCTTTATGGGTGATGTACAAAAATATGTAGACTTGATAGATTTTAAAGACAAGGCTACACATAACGCTGGTTTAGTAAATGCATTGTATCTTAATAGTCGATCTATAAAAAACAAAATTGACTTAATAGAAATAATGTTATACATAATCAAGGATAATATAGATATCATTGTGGTTTCCGAAACATGGGTTAAATCTGAAGATATACCTTACTATAACATACTAGGATATAATGTAGAATATGCTACCAGAAAAAGAAAAGGAGGAGGAGCAGCGATTTTCATAAAAGACCACATAAAGTACAAAATAAATGAAGTTAACCATGGAAATATATCCTATGTTTCTGTAAACATAACAGATATTGGAATAAATATTGGGGCCATCTATGTACCTCCGGATTTTAAGAGTTTGGACTCGACCATGCACTTTATTGAGGAGAAACTGAGCAGCTCACAAAGGCTAAAGACCTATGTTATGGGTGACTTTAATATGGACATTCTAGGAGACGCCAGCTGAGTATACAAACAGCTATGTATAAGTTTAAGGGTAAAAAATGGTTTATCTCGATTTCCAGCAGATTTTAATTTCTCTTCTTTCACCTTGCATACATTTTTGTAAATAATTTGATACATATTTAAAAAAAACATTGGCATAATATAATAGATAAAACTAATAGATAAAACTAAGTTTTAAATAATATTATCTAAGATCTAAGGTAGGTACTACTACAGTATGCTTCACTATATTGAATAAAACTATTTATTAATTTCAAGCTATTTTTATGCAAGATTTAAATCGAGATACCCCTATAAATACCCTATTTGGGTAAATACCCGGGTAAATACCCTATTTGGGTAAATACCCGGGTAAATACCTGGGTATTTTACATCACTAGACGGGACAAGATAAATCTTTTTTTGTCCCGTCCACACCTTTTAATTATTAAAATTATATCTACTTTCATAAAATATTTCTTGCGTTTTTTTTTATTTAATGTATAACCTAATAAAAGAAGAATTTTTTTGACAATTTTGATGCCAAAATATTATATAATAAATAATCTACAATTTTTTTAAAATAAAAACAGTTTTGTAATTCGTGCGTTTCGCGTGCTTGAAATGGCCGAACTATGAAAAACTCATATTGTGTTTTACAAAAAACACAACTAGTGTTACCTAAAAAAATAAGTTTAAGGGAGACAGCAAGCCATGGTTTAATAACACAATATTCAAATTAATAAAGAGCAGAGATTACTATTTTCATAAAATAAAAAATGACCCTGGAAATGAGTTTATAAAAATTAAATATGTTGAAATAAATAAAACCACCGAAAAAGAAATTCGTCAAGCGAAGTGTAGATTTTATAAAAATAAATTCGGGAATATAGGAGGCAACCAAAAAAAAAAATGCTGGAAGGTTATAAATTCGTTAATCAGCAACAAACAAAAAAACAATACTATATATCTGTCTTCAATAAAGGATGGTGACAACATTGTTAATGATGAGAGAAGTGTCTGTGAAATCATTTTACTAGCATTGCTAGAAAATAGAAGCCGGAAGTGATGAGTTGTTCAGTTTTGTACCAGTAACTGAGGAAGAAGTCTTGAAATTGGTTGAGGGACTAGACTCGGCGAAATCTCCAGGATACGATAATATAGACGTAAATTCGATTAAACAGTGCAAAAACGAGATCTTACCAGTGTTAACCAGAAATTATAAACCAGTCATTAAAAAGTGGATCTGTGCCAAGTGCTATGAAAATTGCAAAGGTGATACCAATTTATAAAAGTGGTGAGAAATCAAATGTGAACAATTATAGACCAATATCTCCAAAATCATAGAAAGTATAGTAAACAGACAACGTATAAGCTATTTAAACTCCATAAACTTCCTTTCAAAGCTTCAATATGGTTTTCGAAGATGCAGCAATACCAGCTCTGCTGCAGTGGACTTAGTGACAGATATTCAAATGAACATAGACAAATCACATAAGTGCGCACTGGTGTCGCTGGATCTTTGTAAAGCCTTTGATACAGTGAGTCATTCTATACTCTTAAAAAAGTTACAACTGTCAACTAACTTAAAACCAACTTCAGCCCGTGACTAAAAACCTGTTGCTAACTTCAGCCCGTGACTAAAGCGCCATAAAGCCACAACTTGTCAATGTGTATTTAAAAGTCACTTAGTGTCATGGAAACATGTACGATAAAGGGCGTTTTAAAGGTAGAAGTAGAAAAAATATTTTAAGTCGAATAGTCTTTTGATCAGACGCACCATTAATTAGTTATTAATTAAATAAAGTAGGCAATCACAGGCGCGTTTCAGCAGAATGATTAGAGGTGGGAGAACTATAATGTGCAGCTTAATATAAGAAATTGTATATAAAATCGTAGTGTAAAATGACCCTAATTATATGGATGGCATTGTCACTGTCAGTGTTTTAGTTTTTAGGTTAGTTTTAACTTGAGTCCTTTTTTAGGGAAAATTGGTGGCCCGAAAAAAGGCCGTTTTTTAAATAGCCTTTGGTCCGACTTTGTGCTGTTTATACAGATTAATAATCGTTTTGTTTCTTACAGGCACTTGTAAGCCTAAAAGTGCTAAGAACAACCGTTTTACTCCTCTTTTGGTAAAAATAAACCTTATTTTATCAGGGCTGTCATTAAACAGTTAAATTTTAATTTTAAGGTTAATTTACCATCAAGATACATAATATGTAGTACATATTATGTACTATCGGGGAAATAATTATCTTTTTCTACTCCTATTACGGAATTTGACCCTTCTAATATCACTTTTATCTATGGAATGACATATATTCCGTAAAGTGTTACAGAATGAAATATTCTATCATCTGATTACAGAATAAACACCCGTGGCGACATCTCTGTTTTTAATATCTAACAAATTTTGGACGGATCCAACCTCACTTTCTTCCAATTAAATTATTTTTCTATGGTATTTTTTGGAAACGTAGAAAAAGTATAGTCTGAAACACGTTTGGAATTGCATATTCCGCTCTCGTGAAACCGTCAAACTCGCCTTCGGCTCGTGTGACAAACTCTTCACTCGAGCGGAATATGCTGAATTCCAAACTTGTTACAGAATATACTATTCCAGTACCGGTTCGATTTCGCTTAAAACAGATTTCGCAGGCCACGCCTTCGGGTATTTATTGTCTCAATAGCGGTTTTATTTCGCTTTAAAGAAATTTCGGCGGCCACGTGTGATCACGCCCCTTTTACTATTTATTTATATCTATTATTTATTAATAAAATTATATAATTCTAATATGATTTTTACTATTTTCCCAGGATTTTTATGTATTATTAAAATAAATCTGGGTTTTATTTTATAATTTTTATACTTTAAAGGTAGGTAGATAGATAATTAATTTAGATTCGTTGAGGTATAGCATTTTTATGTATTATTAAAATAAATCTGGGTTTTTACAAGAGGATTAAGTTTTATTTTATAATTTTCCTCATTTAAAGTTAGGTATAGGTATATTTTGTTTTGCTAATCCCAGAACGTCCAAATATATAACTTATAACACCAAGATTATTATATCATAGTATTAACGAGTTTTGTAAAAACCTTTAA